AAATTACTGAACACTTACTTGTTTGTTCTCATACACAGAGAGGATAATTAGGAGCTCTTGAATCATTAATCTGGGAACCTACGATATCTGGAAAGAACTGAAATTATTTCTTTTCTTTGGATTTGTAACACAGAATTACAATTTTCATGTTGCCACCTGTTCCCCTAGCTTGTCTAGGTATGTCTGAGGTTTCTCAGACCAGAACAATCTTTCTTAATTCAAAAATAGGCTGGGATTTCAGCAGTGCTGCTGACACACTGGATGCTGCTGGCCCGTGCCAGGGAAGCTCTCTGGCTTCACTTGTCATTCCAGCTGGTGTGGTGGCCCCTCTGGAGCCGTGTTCCTCACAGAGCCAGCGTCACTGTTACTGCTGTTCATCTCCAGGACCTCAGCTCCACACAGTGCACAGAAAAGCTCAGAGGAGGGACTTCCCAGCCCAGGAGCCTGAAACTGGCATTTTGACACCAGCCAGCTGGTGACGAAGCATTGAGGAGCTGGGGTTTCTCCTCTCTTCCCCTTTGATTCCTTGCCAGTGAGCCAGTCTCTGCCACCGCCTCTTATTCTGCTGTTCTCTAATTCTCCAAGTCTGGAAGCACCTCTAAAGCTTGGCCAATCTGGGCAGAAAATGAACAGGAGGAGAGCCAAAGACTTCTTCAGGGGGGATGCTGGGGAAGGGTGCTGACACGCGTGAGGCAAAGGCAGCCTGCTGTGGTTTGGAGGTGTTGCTTGGATGTGAACGCACCAATGAACCCTGGGGTCCCTCCTAGTAAATGCACTCTTGGGAATACACTCAGAAAGGAACCGGTCCAGACCTGAGCATCTGCAAGGGTCTGGTGCTCCTACTCTACCCTCACCTCCGAGAAGGGCGGACGGAAGCTACTCTCTCTCTGCAGCTGCATTAGGCTGATGAGCCACTCAAATGGATGCTGAAAACTGTTCTTTTTATTCCCTCCTGAGATTAAAAGAAGTTAGAAGAGGCTGAAGTGCACCACTTTCTCCCTTCTAGACCTTGAGAACATGCAAAGAAACACACAGGGTCATTTGGCTCTGAAGGCTGAGGGATGTGAGTGCTTCACTACAGAGCCCAGGGGGAGCATGAGTCACATGGAGTGCCTCGGCAGATCCGGGCTGACAGCATCCACCGAATCACCGCTTCACATTGCACTCAAACAGCAGCAATAAACTGGGAAGCAGGAGGGGCTTGGGGAGGTAGGGCTAGCCTCAGCTGTGTCCAAGCCCCTTTCTCCGCTGGAGCAAGCAGGTCTGTGGGAGCTGGTGGGGGACCATGCATTGGAGGTGGGTCCAAAGGACTGAAGTGTGTGCTTTTTCCCTTATAAAGCCCAGAAACATGGGGAATGGTAGTACCAAAAAGACCAGCATGTTAGGGAAAGCCAGCATTTCTCATTTTTTTCTAAATTCTTGCTTTCTGTGATGTTTCTACATCACTGCACAGAGCTGGTTGCTGTTGTCGTTTTGTAAGTATTGACGTGTATGCCTTTCTGAGTCCTGCCATCATCGCAGGGCTACTCTGATGAGCTGTCACCACATGATAAAATACATCTGTCACTGTGTTTGCTGCTTTGTGGAGTTGTACAGCACCGTGGTTTGCGTCGTGCAGAGGCACTATCCCATTGCATGGTGTAGATTCACCCTTGTCGCACCTAGCAAAGGGAAAAGTCCTTGGTGCCTCCTGAGAAGGAAGACCACAATACTTGCAACACAGCCTGTAAAGCCCTGGGATCCCACAAGGAAAGGACCACACAAAAGTAATCTGATAAGAGCACCTGGTTTCTCATCTCTGTCTTCAATGCCGCATAGGAGCGCTGTTGCCCCAGTGTTACCTGCAGCACAGACTGTGAAGACGGTATGTTGTGCCAGAAAGGGAGCGTGCTGTTGCATTACTGCAGCCTGGGCCTGGGCAAGGTGTTACTGCAATCCAGTCTAGCTGGGGACTCATCAGGTAGATCTACACCGACACTTATGTTTTGTGCAAGCTTGTTCTTATCTGGTCTGAACTTCCACCTCCGTACTGCCTTGAAGCCCACGCTGAGGCTTTCAGTATTGCACTCAGTGGGAAAGCAAAGCCCATCTAGGGCTCGTTCTGTGGATGACTTTTCTCTTAGTCAGGGCAGTCTGTGCATCTAGGGAACAAAGAAGGTCGTCATGTGAAAAGATACAGGCAGGAGAGCTGCCAAAAAAAGAGATTTATGAGATTGGAGTCTCGAATGGTTTGCGCTTGCAGGTGAGTTTCAAGTAGAGTAGGGCAGGGTCACGACTGCTGAGAACAGGAGGGCTACTGAAGAAATGTGCAGTGTTGAGGAAGGCTTATCATTCTTGTTACACCCATCCAGATGGGAGAACTGGAAGCTGTGGATCTGTGCATGCGGCTGTGCACTTAAAGGCGTCCCAGTGGCACCATCACGTCCCCTGTAACGCAGCCAGGCCACCTGGAAACGAGTGGAGTGAACTTCTGAATTGATGGCGGGGGTGTGAGCCTGACCTTTGAAGGTTGGTCCCAGCTCTGAGTGGGGACACTTGGTTGCTTGCAAGGACCCAGTGTGCCTCTTCCAGCCCTCGGAAGAGAGCAGAATGCAGCAGTGGGGTTGCCGAGCTAAGGGTCGTGCGTCCACACGGTGCAACTCCTCGCCCCATGAGAGGACCAGCCTGGCTCGGAGATGGCGCTGCCGCTGCTAGTGTGAAATGGGGGCTGCCCTGGGGTGGCTGTGCTGCCTCCTGGCCTCCACGGCTGCAGGCGGTGCTGCCAGGCAGCACAGGCACCTCCGTGCTACCCTTCTCTGCTACCCATGCATTTCATCCCAGACAGGCTGGGTTTGATGGACCCTGTGCTAGAGGCCAGGTAGGCCCTATTAGCTTACTTTTTTTCTTTTTTTTTTTTTGTGTCAGGCTGATCCTCTCACTGCAAAAGTCAAGGCTTGTGGTTTTAGATAGTTGGTTCAGCTGCCAGAGTCTCAGGTGAGTATCTGACCTGCTGGAGACAGCTGCAGTGCCGGAGGAGCTCATGATGGATGCTCACCCAGCGTGCTGCTGTGTCCCACCCAGGCATCAGGTGGTATCAGATAATCCCTCTGCTCCAGACACCCGTGTGAGCGGGAAGAGAAGCAGACCTGGGTACTTGAGCGCTTATTTAAGGAAAAGCGTCCGGACTGCAGGACCAGGGGTTGGTTTTGGTTGAGGGGACTATGCCAAGCACTTTGTTGTGATTGTTATATTGACCACCACTGACCCTGCACTCATTTTCCCTCATACAGCTCCCAAAACTGACCTCTCCTTAAACCTTGATGATGCCTTGTTTAGCAGACTGAGGGACCGCAGCCAGCTCCCAATTGACGCTGGCAGTTCAGGGACAGGACAGGAGCAAGAGGAGCGACTGCATGCACTGGGATATGGACCAAGGCTTTTCCAAAATTAATGTAGTTCTGTGTGCACAAGCACAAGCTATGGAAAGGCAAACGGCATTAGTGCCGGCCTTCATCACTCCTGTCTGTGTGAGGATGATGGTGGAGGAGCAGGTGTGATGCTGGTGGTGGGCCCACACCTCCTGCCACAGCTGCCCAGGGCTGCGTCCCCACTCCAGCGGAGAGATGGGGTTGTGTCTGTGTGTGTGTCTGTGTGAAGATTTCCCCCGGCTCACAGGTGGTGTCTCTGCCGTTGTTGCCACCTGTCTTTTCTCTGTCAGTAACGGCGTGATGCTGGCGTTGATGGCTACAGAGGAACCCCCTCCTCCAGCACCGGGCGTCCTGTGGCGGTGGCAGGGGGTGTGTGTCTCTGCCATGGGAAGCCCTTCCCACAGCCCAGTGCCCCTCTCCACCGCTCCCCAGCAAGCCCAGCAGAGAAGAACAAACCTGGACTGCAGCCAGCGACAGCTGTAGGACCTCAAGGCCTTTTTGACGCACTGCGAGCAGACAGTAGAACAACTTCTATAAATGCAAGGCTTCTGTGTACATATTTTAACTGTGTTTTTTCTTCCAGGATGTTCTGGCACCTCTGTAACACACTTTTACTTCCATCTTAAATTTCCTGGGCTTTTCACT